AAGCCTGGGAAAGAAGACATAACACGTTTAAGACTGAACTGTGACAGGAGCTGGCAACTTTGTAATGCTATGATATGTAAATGTAAACCACTGCAACTGAATTTCTGGTGTCTTATGAGCACGAGTGTTGGGCACTTTGTGTGCATGACACGAAAATAAATTAAATCAATGAATCAATATACACCCGCTCGTGCACTGTGACTCAACATTGTTCTTAAGATGTCTGTTCATGTTTGATGTGATTGGGATGTGAGGATATTTGAGCTTTAATGCAAAACAAAAAGGACAATAAAGTGTATCTTCTCTGACATGAGGGAGTTCTGTTTGCAGGCTTGTTGTTCATGCACAGCTCTGCACCGCCCCCCTAGTGGTTAAGAGGAGGAAGTACACTGAAGTGGGCTTCCTCTTCACTTCACTCAGAACTACAAAGCAGACTTGAGTTGAGGGTTTACAGTCAGTGACACTATCTGGAAAATGAGTCATTGAAATGTTTCCTGTCAAATCAATCAAGACGTTTCAGTGTGTTTTTAAAAGCGCGATCACGTGTGAGAGACGTCTGCGCTGAAGTCAGACTCTCCTCAATGGTTAAGACAATTAATGTTCAGCATTACGTCGTGTCACATGGTCGGCGTGGAGCTGCTGTGACTCATGTGACCCCCGACGGAAAGGATCCAAACACGTCCGACGTTTGCTGCTCTACACACGCTCTCATCAAAGTCACAGGAAGTTACTGAGTACAGTTTGTGTTCAGCTTTGTTCAACAGTTGTCAGGATACCAGATCTGTTTGACACCACGGCAACAAAATTAGAAGTCTTAGGCGCCGTGTCCACCTGGAGGTTTTCTTTTTGTTTCCAATGAGGAGAGAGCGTTTGCAGCAGGAGGAGGCGCCCTCCTGGAGAAAAAGCGCAGCGCCAAGCGTCTGTTTTCCGAGTGTTACAAAAACACCAACGAGATCAAGTGTTCAGACATGTCTGTGTCAGAGCGCTATCTAAAAAGCGGCGCTGGTGGCCTGGCGGTTTTGTCACGTGCCCCATGTACAGGGGCCGTAGTGTTCCTTGCAGCAGCTGTGGGTTTGAATCCGACCTCGACCCTTTGCTGCAGGTCATCCCCACCACTTTCTCTCCTCCCAACGTTTCCTGTCTCTCTTCAGCTGTCCAAAAATGCCTCAAAAATATCTTGAAAAGAAAATGTAAAACCTCAGATAAGTTAAAAAAGAAGAGAAGGAAACTCCAGGCAATCGAACCCCGGAAATCCAAACAGATTCTATTCACAGCTTCCTTTTCTGACTGACTCCATTCAAACAGACAAACTGGTAAAACAAAGTAATAATCAGAGAACAAAGTCCTGCTGGAAACAACGCCCCCCCCCCCCACGTGGTATTTAGGAATGAAGGGAATATGACTTTGTGAAGACGTGTGAAGTGACGCAGAAGCATTTAGAGAGTCGTTAAAAAAAACGGCTAAAAAACTAAATCCTGACGAGCGCCCGAGGAGTCGTCTGGGGCTCAGAGGGGATGTTTGTGCTTCATCAAAAGGAGGATGGTGAAGAGTTTCCACCCAGGACAGGAAACAGAACTCATCTTCTACTTTCACTCTCCAGCCAGACGACGGCGTTTGCTAAAGAGCCGAGCTAACAAAAGAGCGTCCATAACACTATTTCACCTCACACACTCGGACCACTGCGTGTCTCCGTCTGCAGCCGCGGTGTTTCAATCCAGGAAATATAAGGTTTGATTTCACAACTTCCCTCAGGTCATTGGCAGAATAAATGCAAATAAACTAAACAAGCTCAATAAAGTTGCATCTAAATTTACCTAAAGGAAGCTCTGAATGGGAATCAGCTCCCTTCCATTGCTAAGCTCTGTTAATGTAAATCACATTAGAGGAGAGAGAGAGACACAGACGCTCCTCTTGATCTTCTCCTGCTCACTGTGGAGGACAGACAGAGACGCCAGCTGACGGCCGGGATGAGTCCGCTAACACTTAAAAAGACGTACCAAGGACAAGCGTACTAAAAAACACCTTCTACGTACATTTAGGACACGTTTACAAAGTGTCACCTCCTCTGCTCTCTAATATCGAGTTTTTAAGATATATCAATATATAAGACATAGGGTAAGACAATATCGTTAATATCGATATAGTTTATGCTGCATTAAAATAACATTATAGAGGTGCCAGGTCACTTTTTTCTCATCTCACTGATGATGACTGACTGTCTGTCCCTCTTAACCCTGATCCTCCTCTCTCTCTCTCTTTTATTGTATTTAAGGAACATTTTTATTTTATAACATAACTTTTTAAATTCATAAACAGGTAGTTTATTTTTCCATGTGTTTTCACTGTTAATAAAATACTCGATATATATTGAGTATCGCCATTCCGCTAATCAATATCAAGATATGAGTTTTGGTCCAAAATCGCCCAGCCCTACTCTCTGTTTGTCTGTAAGAGAAATGGACGCCGCTTTTGTGTCCTTTTTTTTTTTTTTTTTTTTAACGTATGTGTCCGAGGAAAACCGAGATACTAAAACAAACTCTACAGAAGTGTCGGGCGATAAGACCTCATACCTTTTTGCAGTATCTGTATTATATGTCGGTATTATAGTATTAAAAGGATTTGCTCATTAAAACGCCGCACTACGACCAACCCCTCCCTCTCCCCGTCAAACCGTCTGCGATGAGCAAGAGAGAAAGATGTTAAAGTCAGTTCAGCATGTTGTAGTGTGTGACTGAATCTGTGTAAAGATTGGCTTCTCTCCTGCGGAGTTGTGTTAGGCTCCGAGTCCACCTAGCGATTTTATCTGCGCGCCAGCGTCTTCCTTCAATTGTTTTCAATGAGGAGCGAGCGTTTGCTGCAGCAGGCGACCTCCTGGAGACAAATCCCAGCGCCTAGCGAGTTGAAAATCTTTTGACTTTTCAGAAAGGCGCTGTTGACGTCACCGCCGCTCTTTTCCAAATGTATGATATATTAGTACCTCATACAACCACACCTCAAAAATACAGAACTACCCCTTTAAAGACCCAAGAAAACCTGCTGAACGCCAGCTTCACAAAGGGATGAGGCCATGTGACAGGAACCGGTCTGTAGCTGTCATATCAGGTTAATTGACGTCTGTGTGAGTACATTGTGCTCACAATCAGCTGTTCAGGTGGAGCCAAATAACTCAGACATGAATCATATAGATTATAGTCCTGATGCTGAGCACAGCAACACCATGTAATGACGGCAGAATCCAAAGTCTGAATGTTTACTGTGAGGCGGAGTTAACATATATTTACAACAATTACTGGAAACTATTAATAAACGTCCTCTTTCAACCACTTCTTTACTTATTTGTCTTTCTCTACAGGAGATGCACTCCTGAAAATATCTAGATCATGTCATGAGCACTGCGCCACATATTTTCATAGCCTGACTGTTCACACATGCACCTCACAGTGGGAGACGATGCCTGTCAGACAGGACGGGGGCGGGCTATAATGAGAATATGTGTCTTTATATCAATGCTTGAACAGAATCCCAGGAGGAAATATATCAAGTAAAAAAGGAACAACGGGGAATTGTCAGATGGAGAAGAACATACAGGAGAACAGGAAACATCAAGCAGCAGTTTCATTACATGCACGCCGGAGATCCAATATTTCCTGCTGAGTTCTCACCCAGACTTCAAACGGAATATTCAGGGTAAATTCAGAGTGAAAATGTTTGATATTTGAGTGCAGCCCTGAGAATTATAGTTAGTAAGGAGGTGTGTGCATTGTTTGCTGTGCAATATACACCGTTTTCTCTCTGAATGCATGTTGTGCTTCATGAAAAGGGAGGTGTGGCATTTCTTAAATGTCTTGTACACTGTATAATTCTGATCTGAAAGGTGATACTCATGGATGCAAACTAGTCTCTGTAAGGCTATCATCTACACTAATTTGAATGTTTTCTCTATTATTTGTCTTTAGTTTGTGTTTGCACTGAGGAGTGATTCCTGTCGGACTGGTTACAAAGCTGGACTGAGTGTGTGCCGTTTGGTCTGCTGCAGCTTGTGTAACCTGCATGCAGTCTGCACAACAACAGACAAGTGGAAGCAGCACAAAGATTGTGTGCAGGATCTGCAGAGACACAGAGGATCTGCAGAGACACAGAGGATCTGCAGAGACACAGAGGATCTGCAGAGACACAGAGGCAGAGACACAGAGGATCTGCAGAGACACAGAGGATCTGCAGAGACACAGAGGATCTGCAGAGACACAGAGACACAGAGGATCTGCAGAGACACAGAGACACAGAGGATCTGCAGAGACACAGAGGATCTGCAGAGACACAGAGACACAGAGGATCTGCAGAGACACAGAGGATCAGCTGTCACGGTGCTCTGCTCTCAAACTGAGACTCTACTGCTCTCTCTCTCTCTGTTAGACAAAAGCTAGCTAGTGACCTCTAAAAAAAAACAGCTGCTGTTTTAGGGAATAGCAGCGCATGCGCAAAGCACAGTGCGGGTCCGCTTGTGTAAAGTTACCCAGCCACACGCTGAGCCACACTTCCGCCAAGATTTTCACATTAAAGACGCGCTGTCCTGTTCGTGCTACTTCCTCGCAACACCTATATTAAACACAGTAAAGTTCATCTTGAGAATCTGGGTCCAACTGTAGGTTAATTATCTTTGTACAAACATTGTCCACCTACCAAAGTGAGGATGTTCTCACACATTAACAAACAATACAATTACAGGATGAAGAAAACCTTTCATCCTGCCCATGAAGGAATTCTGTCCGCATGTGATTTTGTCTTTTAGCTGTTTAACTAAAATACATTCAATCTACTTCAGTAAAGCATCTAACTACAGATTGTACAATTACCCCCGAATACATCGTTATTACGTATAAATGAACGGTAATCTTAGTCATTAGCGTGTCCTGGTTTTATTTTGAAGGTGGACTTCCTGTTTCTGATCGTATCCGTCTCTAGCCGCCCTGACGCGCGTGGGCTATCAGCTATTTACTCACCATCTCTATGATCCGAGTTTTCTTTCCCGCTCGCTTCTTCTTCGCGACGATGTACTGGGCCAGAACCACGCCGCCGAACAGGGCACAGACGCTGGCACTGGCCGCGGCTCCGACCTTCACCACGGCCGTCCTGTCCATGACGGTACGCCGCTGTCACAAGTCTCCGCCGCCGCCGAGAGAGAGTCCCGTCCGGTCCTCCCTTCTGTCAAACGAGCGGCTTCCTACTGGTGCATTCCCACTGCCAAAGATCCTCTATGCAGAGCGTCACTACTCACTCCGTAAACGTTATTTTACAGACTCTAAAGTTTTATTTTATTTTGTTTGTGGAAATCGTTCGTATGCTGTCTGCATACAGAGAGTTAATGAAAGATGTAATTTAATGCATATATATATATATATATATAAATAAACACACAACGTTTCGAGCCCGACCTGGCTCTGTGTCAGGTCTTTTTTAATGCGTATAGCAAATAAATAAGATGCCTTTATCTTTGGGAGCCATCGTCTGTGCATTATATCGAACAGGACCTGGACAGGCGAGCCAAGCAGAGTTAAAAAAAAAAATGAAGCTATTGCTGAAGTGCAAAATCCTGCAGTTCATCAGGTGTCCACTAGAGGCTGGCTGCAGAAGCTCAGGAAAGCCAGTGGACATTCTAGAATAATGACCGAATAGAAACAATACTGCCTTCTTCAACATAATGCAGGAGTTCAATGATCTATCACTGCAGTTATTTTTCCTCTGCTGCTGTCTGTAAAGTGCCCCAGATATTTACTACTGAGTGAAGCATCTTTACATAAACAATCTTTGTCAACCGTCTCATGTCGTTCTGTGCCTCTGACAGAAGTGGCGCCCCCTACAGGAGGTGAATGTGTGGAAAGGTTTTTCTCAAAACAACCAAAATATTTTTGCAAAACAATTCACAGAAATTGTAATAAATATTCAAACAGATGAATGATGATGACAGATGATGGATGACTGTTTAATAATCAGTAAAAGCATGTTTACAAGAGGTTAAAAAAAAAAACCACATCAACTTGTGACTTTTTTATTTTGCATATTTGCCAGTGCCTAAAAAAGGTAGGCTATTAACTTACACCATCATTTTTTGTCTCCAACACATAAAAAGATGAAAACATACCCAGTGGAGAATCTAGAGTATTTTGGGGCCCTAAAATAAAATTCACATGCTGGTGTGTTCCACCAGCATTCATCGGCAGTTTGTTAAAAATGATCCGAGACAGGGCCCAATTAGGGAGGTTTCCTACTGTTATTGTAAAATTTGCACATTTTGAGTCACTGCTATGCTTTACAGTTTGTCAGCCCGCGAGGGCCCACTACTTGACAGGGGCCTCAAGCAGTTGCCTGCCTTGCCTGTTGACAGGCAGCACCTCTGACCATACCAAACATATAGGAGTTGGTCATTGCTTCATTCTAAGGTCCTTTAAATTAAACGCACAGAAAAAAAAAGAAAAAAAAACTGTCAAATGTATAAATGTATTGCCATAACACTACAGATCAAACACCAGATCAAAACACTCTACAGTTTGTACATAAAGTTACAAAGAGATCAGCCCACGCCTGATCCATTTTGGCCGTTGCCTGCCTTCTCGTTTTTTCTCCCCTTTTTGGATTTGTTTGCACTGCTGACTGTTTACCTGAGTAGCGACCTGCACTGTTACTTCAAATTCTGCTTTTTAACGAGCTCTGCCTCCTGTGAGTCTGCACTTTTAGGTCTGTGTGTTTGCGGCAGTAGCTCAGCCTGCAGGGACTTAGGTTGGGAACTGGTTCAAGTCTCGGTGTGGATCAGGTCTGTAATTTGGTCTGGGTGCTGGAGAGGTGCCAGTTCACATCCTGAGCACGGCCGAGGTGACCTTAAGGAAGGAACGCACCCCTCCACCAGCTCAGGAGCGCTTGCTGTGTGCAGACCCCTCACTCTGACATCTCTCTGTTAGTGCATGACCACAGGATCCTGTTTGTGCATGTGTGTGTGTGTGTGTGTGTGTGTGTGTGGTGTGTGTGTGTGTGTGTGTGTGTGTGTCTGTTTCAGCCTGTGTGTGTGTGTGTGTGTGTGTGTGTGTGTTTCAGCCTGTGTGTGTTCAGACTGTGTGTGTGTGTGATTGTGTCTGTGTGTGTGTGTGTTTGGTGTGTGTGTGTTTCAGACTGTGTGTGTGTGTGTGTGTTTGTGTCTGTGTGTGTGTTTGTGTGTGTGTGTTTCAGATTGTGTGTGTGTGTGTGTGTGTGTGTGTGTGTGTGTGTGTGTGTGTGTGTGTGTGTGTGTGTGTGTGTGTGTGTGTGTGTGTGTGTAGCATGTTCAACAACAGAGTGTATAATCTGAATTAAGAGGGATCAATAAAGCATATCTTCTTCTTCTTATCTGGTTCTGTGAGAGTTCTTATTTTGAATATTCAAAGAAAATGAAGTTCACCAGACTGTCCATAAACTTCTTCAATTTGAATGTTGGCGTTGAAGTTCACACATCATAAATGTTTTTTATCTTTTGTCACTGTCCTCTGAGAGGCTCATTTGACTACCTCTGAATGGAGAATATGAACGTCTTTATTGTTTATAACATACCTGTGAAAATTATTCTTCATATCTTCATCTGTGAGGCATTAAATGCAAAAGTGTCCGTCGCAGCCTGACTATGAGTTGGCTTCATGTAACACTTATATCAACGCTCAGGTTGTAGTAAAGCTGCATCATAAACCTTATCACGCAAAAAACACAAAAAAGAAAAACTGTCAAATGTATAAATGTATTGCCATAACACTACAGATCAAACACCAGATCATTCATGTCCGCTGTAAACACATTTAGAAACTGGGTCACATGTTGGTACCAAGTACAGAAAAGGCCTGTCACATTTGTTTAAAACACTCTACAGTTTGTACATAAAGTTACAAAGAGATCAGCCCACACCTTATCACGCTCACCTCTTCTGGAAGTGGTGCCGGCCCTGACACACTTTGGTGCCCTCTGCAACATTTCAGCTGATTCCCCATTTATTGCGACCAAATCCACCACCAATCTGCATGTTCATACACTTAAAGAAAACTGACAGACAGCTTTATGTTTCACAGCTTTTCTTTATTTAAACCTGACATTTATCGGTGCGGTCAGTGTCATCTGCCCTCCTCCACAACAAAGAGTGGGCAGCTGCCGTGTTGCAGGACATACACTGTCAATCAAACAGCAACTTAGAGTGTATTTGGTGTTGCTGCTATAATTGGAATAAAGGAACATTTTTAAACTGAAAACATGGAAATGTGCTTGTCCCACACACAATATGTAGGAATGTCCCCACTTGGTTTAAATCAGGAAGCGAACAATTTGGAGGAGCATGCACGATTGAATAACGAAGCAAGACTTCTTTTGAAAAAAAATACATTTTCAGTCGGTCACGTGCCCGCTCTTACTGTAACTTTGAGTTTAATTTATACCGAGAAAAAGGATGAGATCAAAGTACGTCCACACTTGAATGTCTGGAGTCTGCAGAGCAGCACAACAGCAGACATTTAATGTTAGAGGACATGGAGACGTGAACTCATTGCATCTTTGCTGTTAAGGCAGCAACACCGGTGAATTGAGACGATGGTGACGAGTGGACGTGATCAGTTTAAAGGCCAGCGCTCTGCAGACTCTGCATGAAGAATTGTGTGACAATTAAACAAGGTACAGATTATCTAAAGATAACATTTGCTTTGTCAAATACAAACGTAACGGCTGGTTAATGATTCGGGGACAGACGTGGCACACAGAGACAGTTTAATCAGATTGTTGGAAAGGTGTATATAAGGAGCCGTGTCTGCTGCTCCATCAGGCGCTCTCCATCACTCTGAAGAAGGTAAGAGCTTTTTAACAACTGCCTCAACTAAAATCAAATACTGTTGTCTGACAGATGCAGGCTAAAAGTTCACGAGAAACTTCTTTGTCCTAGTTGTGAATTTGTTGGGAAACATAATTCAGTTTCAGAAAGTAAAATTTCGAACGACTAGAATGGCTGAAGAGGTCGTTCTGACTGTTAGCGAATCATTTAAAAAACACAAATCTGAAACCAAAGAATAGATTGATCGAAGGACAGCGGCAGGCTGCGGCGTAGCTGATGGAGGAGGAGGAGAGGATGGACTGGATGATGGCAGTGTAGACGTGCACCATCATGGTCTCTGGCAGGTTGAACTTCTTCAGCTGCTGCAGGAAGGGTGTAACAGGCTGAAAATGCTTTTTCATATTTTCATATTTATTTCTGTCATTTTGTTATATCAGTGTGTCTAGTTAAACTAATTTAATTTCCAGAAGTATTGAAGTTCATTTATATTTCTAAGATCATCAGTAAAAGAGAACAAAGTTATAAACAGTAAATACTGTGTGTTTTATCTACCTTTTAAGATTAAGACACTGGCCCTTTAAGAGAGGCTCAGTGAAGAAGACACAGAGGTGTGTGTAAAGCTGTGGGCATTTCTTTAATAAAAGTAGCTAAAAGTGAAGATGGACGATTTATTTCAAGGGTGCAACAAGTACATCCTCTGCTGTCCTTTCTCTATGGTCAGCCTCCCACCTGTAGGCAGACTCATCCCCACCAGAGATGAGTCCAACAAGGGCGCTGTCGTCTGCGAACTTTAGGAGACTGACAGACAAACACTGTTAGTTTGAAGGGTGATCTCTATGAATAACTCATGTGTCACAAAAGTGTGCAGTCAATGTTAATGCAAAGCATGTTCATGATTCCAGGTGTCCTGATTCTTCTGCTCGTTATATTTAAGAACTCATCAGTGGTAAGTTCTTATCTCCTATCCCATCTTGTTCCTCTTTTAAAGGTTCATTTTCAGTCAGTGTTGTTTTTGTTTTATTGACTCGTACTTTACTGCTATCTTGAATTCTTACCTAGATTATATTTTCCACCTCCGATGCTTCCCGCTGTTTTTTTTTTGTAATTGCTTCATCAGTAAAAACGTTTGTTTAGTTTGCTCTTCTCCAAAGTCCTTCACTGCTGCAGCGATGAGGTCTGTGATCTTGGCTGGTGTCGTAGTTCTGCTGGTGATCACAGTAGACATTATTGGAGTAAGTTGTCTTAATGTTTGCTTCCTCTGTAGGTTTTACATGTTTATATACATTTATAATGAACATGATCTTTTGTCCTTTTCATTAGTTTGTTGGAGAGGATAACATGCATGTCTTCTATATTTTCTTCATCTACAGTTCGAGTTTGGAGACATCATTTATTTTGCACCCACACAGTTCTGTAATATCGAATACAGACATGTTGCTGTCTACGTAGGTGACGAACCCTTTGAGGGCAAAAAACCAGGGGACGACATATTTGAACGTTTGAGTAAGTGTTCATGCAAAATATAAAAGACAGTAAGCTTGTTTACAAATGTTTGAATGTTCAAATGAGAGGATTATGGTCCAGTTTAAGGTCAGTTTAAGGTTCCTGAGTCTGTCAAGGTCCAAGACAAAAGTCCATCTCTGTTATATGTTCCAGCGCTGACTCCTCTCCCTCTTCAGTGACTTTCATTTACAGACTCTGGTTTTCACAGCAATAGTACATGCAACACTCATCAGAGAAACGAGGGGGAGTGCTGTCACATGTGGGCCCTCAGGTGGTCCCTACTGGCCCGGGGCCCGTTCAGTTGCCTGCCTTGCCTGTTGACAAGCAGCGCCTCAGTTTCAAGGTTGTCTTTATTATTCCTAAGAGAGGTCAATCAAAACATACATTCATCCAGCCAACAATCAAAACAACAGAAAAAGACAGAAGTTAAAGTCAATGAAAAATCAATAAAACACACAATTAACCCCCCTCTTCTTAAAATGGGAGCTATTTTTCTGTGATGTTTATGTTGTGTGTGTGTAAAATGATTTCTCAGGTCAATAAAGGCAAACTGTGTACAGCCCAGCCAGGACCTTAAAACTTAATTTCTGTCCGATCCAAACAGATCTATTCACAGGGCCCTTCAGGGGCCCGGCCATTTCTTTGGGCAGGCCTGTCTGTACCTGGAAGCAACTTAACTTCTGAAAAAAACAAAGAATAACTGATCAGAAGTGGCGATTCTAGAGTCTGATGGGGCCCGAGGCAAAACTAATCCCTCCAATCAGCGTTCAGCAGGGCAACAAGAGTGAGTTCTGTCAGATGGGAACTCCTTAGGGAGGGGGCCGCAACATTGGGGCCCCTTACTGGTCTGCCTGCCTTGCCTGGTGACAAGCAGCGCCTTTGGTGATCAGTGACTGGGTCCTCGTTAATCCTTGCTTTGTACAAGTGTGTTAGGTCACCAAGGGCCAAACCTGCAGCGTGATAAAAACAACCCCACAGTGTAGACGATTTCCAACCCTGGCGGCACTCTAACACGTTTATTAAAGGTGTTCATAATGTATCTTCTTTACTTTATTCCCTGTTTGTAGAGCCGGGCCGCCAATGTGTTTTCAACAAGCTCGACATGAACAGGTTACCTGTGGTGTGCAACGCAGAAGATGGATACCCAGACTTAGATGGACATACTTTCCAGAAGGGAAGTGTGGCGGATATGAGAAAACGCATCGAAGATCTGCATAAAAACTGTGGACTGTACGATGCAATCTCAAACAACTGTGAACACCTGGCTACCGAGGTGCGATACGGACGGCCGGTGGCACTGCAGGTATGTGTGTTTTCTTTCTGTTTACCCACCAAAGCTTAAAGGTATGCAGGTTTAAATTCTGGGAAGTGCGTGGAGTGATTTAGATTCTGCCCTTCATAACTGAAGATCCAGCAGAGAGGGAGAGGGAAAGAGAGGGAGAGGGAGAGGGAGAGGGAGAGGGAGAGGGGAGGGAGAGGGAGAGGGAGAGAGAGACACAGATAGAGAGAGAGAGAAAGGGAAAGAGAAAGAGAGAGAGAGAGAGAGAGAGAGAGAGGGAGAGGGAGACAACCTGGACAGCCTTTGCAGATTTTCTGGTTCCAACCACAAAAGTTTTAGTTTCACTGTTTGATGTTCACTTTAAATGAATGCTAGCAGCTGTTCATCCTTTTCATGAAGTTAATATTTATTCTTCTGTTTTGTCTACAGGTAAACTTGACTAATGGAAGGTTATGCAAACAAGACAAAAATGTGAACAGAAATGACATAATTACATATATGAATGGACAATGTACTGGAAATGGTACTGACAGGGCAGGTACCAGCATGGGCTAAGAAGAATAACTCGTCACATGCTGCGTTGCTCATTTCTGTGTCATCTTTATATCACACGATGTATCAGCTGAAATTAAAACTATGAGTAACTGATGTGTTTGTGTTTTATTGTCCCTGTTGATGAAGAAATGGCTTCACTGTTAAAACATGGAGACAGAAGAACTTTTGAACATTGCTGTTTTTGAAAACCCCGGGTTGAATCGTGACGGGTCCGCCTTTTCATACAGAGAGTTAATGAAACAAGTCACCTGTTTGAAAGCAGCCTGCATTAATGTGCACAGAGACCCTTTAACATGCTTTGAGTTAGGGATAATGTAAAGTGAGAGAGTTGTTATGACCGAATGAAACCTGAAAAAAAGTCAATAAAGACACGCACGTCACTTATTCAAGTGCTGAGCCGTGAAAAAGATATAATTCAATGCATATACTATATACCTTTCGAGCCTTGGAACATTGTGTTTTTTAATGCAAATAGAAAAAATAAATAAGTAGCCTTTAACTTTGGGAGCCGTAGTGTTGAGAGTCTTGGTGCATTATACTGAACAGAACCTGGACAGGCGAGCAGGACCCAAGCAGAGTTGAAACATGAAGCCAATGCTGAAGTGCAAAATCATCCTGCAGTTCCTCAGGTGTCCACTAGAGGCTGGCTGCAGAAGCACAGGAAGTCACATACACACCCATTCTAAAAAGCCTGTTTTTACAGCAGAGATTAACATGTTTACAGCCTGGTTCAAAAAACCAAATAGGTGTGATTAGCTCATGTCTCTAAAGACACACACTGTACGGGGGGTGAATGTTTTGATGACTCATCAGTTTTGATTTGATGAAGGATAAGAGTTATTCACAATAAGGCGTGTAGCTGACCTGATTGACAGGCGGGCGCGGTGTAACGGTTTGTCAGGAGGCTTAAAACTTGCCTCAGGTCCAGCTCTCAGCCTGTCGTTAGGTTGACTGAAAGTTAGGCTGAGACAGCATTTCCAGTCTATGTCAGGACCCTGATGTGAAGGGAAGGGGTCCTGTCTCACCCTGAAGGTGTTCCTCTGGGATAACAACCAGCTCACTTTAAATTATCCTGCTCATCACACGGCTTTAGGTAATTACAAATTTGCAACAAAAAAAAAATTCTGCAGCTATTTTATGGATTTTAAAACGATTTATAACTTCAGCTAAACAAATTGTTAGTTGGATTCTACTGCTAGAGCCGTTTCCATAGCAACGGCTAGCTCTGTGGCCTTCATTAAATGAGCTAACTCAGCTGTTATTGCTCTCATTAAAGTGAACATTTCCTCCGATGGTGGGACGAGGTGAACAGATCCTCAGGAGTCGGAGCAGCACCTCAGTGCGTTTCTCTGCCGCATCATTTTCTGTTCCATTCACCATCTTTAAAACTCACACCGCGTCCAGTAACGTGTTTATTTTCATGCTTAATCATCAGTTTTGTTGATTCCTAAAGTGCGGTTTATCCATTCCTCTCACAGTAAACAGAGTCTCGTCTAATCAGCCGGACTTCTTTCTGCAGATTGATATCATCACAGTTAAGTCCTCCAAAGTCTGAGATTGGAGCCGCGTCCATAGCAACCGTCAGCTTTTCTCAGTAACGGTCTGTTCTTCTTGGACAGCACACCATTGCTATGCGTGATCAGCCAATCAGAATCAAGTATTCAAAACAGACGTAACACACAAGAAGTCAAAGAAACAAAGTCATATTTATTGTTGTATGACATTTTAGACACATACAAACTTTGAAATCCAGTAGTAGTAGTAGTTTTTTTTGTACACTTCATGGACTCTGCAGGGGGGGGGGTTAAATCTTAAAGATGCATGTATGTATGTGTGGGACTGCAAGCATGGAGCGGAGCAACAAGTCGAGTGACTGGCTTGGAGTAGGCGGGAGGAGGAGGAGGAATGTTTTACAGGTTGAGATCAAAGCATAAAAAGCTATTTTGTCTCTAAATAAATAAGAGCAGCACGTGATGAGTGACATCTGATGTAGAGTCACAAGACAAAGTTCCTTACCACTTTTCGTCCCAGCGCTGTCAGAGGACTGGCTTAATTTGAGTTTTTCCTGTGTTGCATCATTTTATTAACGTTATATTTCCTGGTTCTTAAAATTCTGCCGACACATTTAAAAGCAGTTAGAAACAAAAACAGTGAAATGTTGTGAGGACAGGCCACACATGGAACACTTGTCTGACGTAAACTCCCATCATGTTGCTCTTTTCTTCATCGTCACCCTCCTCATCAGAAGTGTGTGTGTGTGTGTATTGGGAGCGGCTACTCCACAGGCCGGATGCCCTTGGCCTCCTCCAGCTTCCTCAGAGTCTCGTCCCATTGGGTGAACTGCTTGGACAGCAGGAACATCTGCAAATCAGAGATCAGAGGGGGGGGGTCAGTGGGTGGAGCGTCATCCCTGCAGCGATTTATGTTATTAAAAGTTCTGAAGTCTAAACCTGAGCAGCGATCTAAATATCCTCTGTTGTTATGTTGGCTTTTGAATATACTACACTTTGGACACATCGCTGAAATATTCCAGAAAGTGTTTTCACACGTGCACAATACTCTTAAAAAAAAGTCACCTGTGTCCTACATTGTTATGATAGCATGCTAATGTTAGCGCTCTTTAGTTAGCTTGTAGCTTCACATTGCATGTAAACTGTCACAGAATGAGCGTGATCTAAAAACTCTTACTAACATCCAAATAATCAGTGAGAATGTTCTTCTTCTCTCTAGTCCTTGACTAAAACAGCTTTTATACACAAGGGGAGGAGCCGGCCGTCCCGTCCATGTAAACACGGCTCTGACAACAACACAGCCAGCGGGACTCGAGCTTCTCACTCATTGTAGACGGTCATGACTCAGACACATTTACACAGGATAGACTGGATTTATGATTTATTTATGTGGAAGATCTCGCACATTCTCACTTTATGTAAATGAAACGACCCTGTAACAAATGAAAAGTACCATTTTGTTGTACTCCTCGAAAAGCTTCTTCACCTCCAGGGACTGAGCTTCAGTTTGATCCTGTTAAAGAAGAAAAAGCAAAGAGTTAAAAAGATAAAACCTAACGAGGGAGGACGCAAAGAGTCCGAGAGAAGACGAGGGTGACCTGCTCTTTGATGTGAATCTGTGACAGACGCTGCAGCTTGGTGGCGTGTTCGGGTACATCTGTGACAAACAGAACAAAAACACAGAAGATTCTTAGAGCGGTGCACAACTGAAGAATTAACTCGGTATCGATCCAGCAGCGGAACAACAACACAGCAGAACCCTTTATCGCAAGGTGTTTATGACATAATCATGTTTAAAGATGGCCAGATGCACCACAAGCAGAACTAGGACTACTGCAGGGGTCGGCAACCTTCCCCGCACTCTGGCAGTAAGTGTGCGACATTAGATAGATTGAAATGGCCTCTCATTTGCCGGCATTTACGGAAGCATGACTGAATTCTCCCGTCCGTCTTGAACACTTTCAGTCAAGATGTACCAGACTGATGACCTGTAGCCCTCAAACCAGAAAGTAGTTGGAAAAAAAACAAAACCAAAAGACCCTAGCTACCGGAGCGGACTGTGGGGAGGATGGTGGAGTTACAAACACAGACTTTCTTGCAAATGATGAGATCACCGTACAAATCTGGTGTAGAAGACGGGCTTTTGATACCTATTTTTCCATCTAGAGAGTCGGCTGTGTCCTTTATACTTGTGTGAAATACTGAGGCACGCACCCTCTGTACCGTGAGTGCAGCCCCCACATGACACTATTAAAAATTCACCTCCGTTCATTTTGTATTTCAAACTGTACTTTAAAACATAGTGAAGCGGAGAAGGCGGGCATTGCCACTTTCAACCATCTGTTCTCCATCATGAGGTCATCATGGTGCATTTAAAGCCAGGTGAAGCTCACCTCTGATGTAGGTGCTGTCCAGCAGAGGTTGTAAGTTGCTGACTTGCTCCAGCAAAGCAGCCTGGGAAAGCAGGAAGTCCTCCTCTGTGCAGACAAACACACGAAAGCATCGTAGTTAGTCCTGAATCAGATGGACATTTAATCTTCCATAACACCAAACAGAAGCACAGAAGCCTTCAGAATTTTAATTGAGGTTGTAAGTAAATGTCGTTTATTGCTCCCATGCACCGTTTTCCCGGTTCTTACCGGCGAGGATGAACTCCAGCTTCATGGCGTCAGGTACGCTGATGTGGTCGGTGAACTGGGGGTCCAGGTATTTCATCAGGTCCTCAACTGCACCACAACACCGATAAACACGATGAGACACTCGCCAACACTCTCAGGAACTTTGCACCAAGTACTGATGTGACACTTTAAAACTTCACTTTGCTAGGGTAAGTAGGACTATTTAATGAGAGGGGTTTATGTTCTAAAAAAAACTCTCGAAAATAAGTTTCATGGTTAGCTGGATTCTGGACAGTTAGCATTGGCTGCACATCATAACCCCTCTCTCTCCCCAGGTTTCTAGAGTATCTCTACAGGGACTATCAAGTGATGCAAGTGTGGGCAACACAGCAGAGAATACAATAATAAATGTATATTGTAGATAAATAGTCTTGCAGCTCCATGACAAGAACTGCACAATGCAATGCCTGGGAAACGATGACTCACTCTTCTTGTGCAGGATCTTTACTCGCTCTCTTTTGTTGGCAGTGTTGGTCAGACCTGCCTGAATCCTGACCAAAGACTCGGCACACTGCAGGACAAACGACACAGATCAGGTGAAGGTGAGTATAAAAGCTAAATAAAAGCTGTTACAGTTTTATGTGGTATTATACCAAACACAAACACATGGGGTTGTCACAATAACTGTTTCGATTCCACAGCAATAAAAATAGAGAAGTCCTAGGCACCAAGGTCCTGCATACTGTTGATAAATTAAAGGGCGGCTGTGGCTCAGTTGGTAGAGTTGTCGCCTCTCAACCACAAGGTCGAGGGTTTGATCCCCAGCTGAGCAACATGTCCGATGTGTCCTTGGGACACTTAACCCAGCATTGCTCCCGCTGCTTCGGTTGCGGTGTATGAATGGATTAGTGTTGTACTTACTCTCTGATGTACGTTGCTTTGGATAAAAGCATCTGCTAAATGAATTGTAACATTGTAATATGTAACTCTGACACCTAGTGTTTCAAATTGGTACTGCAGTCCAAATTCAAAACATTGGAGAGAGCTGTAAAGACATAATCTGCCAGGAAAGAAATCCCCATCAATGCCTCTTTGTAAGTTAAAAATGTCTATCGTATCATATGATGCTCTGATGAGAGACTCCATTCAGGGGCTGAAAGGACTGAAACATTTAAACGCCGCCATAGTGAGGAAAGCGAGCTGAGACAGAAAAGCGAGTTGGGTTATGAGCAAACTGAGGGCTATCAAGTTAGTTGATGTGAAAAGGAGTGTATTCATTGTTGTCACAGACACAAACAAGTAAAGAGGGATTTGTTATTGAAGCAGTCAGATGATCAATGTTAAACTTAAACACAGAGTCTGAAGTCCCAAAGAGTTAATATATTATATTGTTTATTTTTAAGGACTAGAGGGGCTTCTTCACACTCAGATTTTCTGAATAACTTTTGTTTTACAGTAATCAAAGCCAACAAAATTTGAAAAATTCTATTTCAATTAATACACACGTTTGTATTTTTATTTTCTGGTTTGGTTTTTATATTTTGATTTTGTCATCTACATATGTTGCTTGGAGTAATTTGTGAAATATTTAAAAGTTTAATTGCCTAAACATTTTTTTTCTGAAGGCAGATCTATGGAAGCCCATTTCCACCAGTAAAAAAAATAAAAATGAAAATAATAAAGTCTCATAATTTTATATTACAATATTTTGACTTTATATCTCATTATTATGAGTTTTTATCTCATTATTTTGATTTTATATCTCATTATTATGAGTTTTTATCTCATTATTTTGACTTTATATCTCATAATTATGACTTTTTATCTCATTATTTTGATTTTATATCTCATAATTTTGGCGGAAATGGGCTTTCACAGATCTGTGATGACAACTTAGTATGTTTTTAATTCGTGACGCTACATAGCTAACATAGAAGCTACTTCACTGGTAGATATTATCACGGTTACTCTGATTGTCTTACACTGGCGCAAACAGTTGAAATGTCTAAATAAACTACTCCAGAAGAATCTCCGAGCACTCAAAGTATGTACACAAAACAAAAAGGGCGTCAACGTAACACTACAGTTAGCTCCTTCAGGCTAGCAGCAGGCTAGCAGCAGGCTAGCAGGTTTAGCAGTAAACAAAGACATCATCCGGGGCTTACCTTCACTGGTTTTCCACTTTTGTTTCTTCTGTCGCCGTAAATCTGACTCTCCAGCGCCTGAAGACGCATGTCAAGGTTGTCTGTATCCACCTTTTTGTCCATTCTTGCGGCTGCTAATGGACACAAGTGACTACAAAACACAAACAGCCGAACCTTCCCGACGGCGTTCTTCTTCTCTTGTGGCGCTTTGCAAACAACGATTTGATGCACTACCGCCACCTACTGGTATGGAGTGTGGATCAGAATATCGAAAGAGTGCTACTTTTCTCTGAATATAAAGAATAAAAAAGTACAATATTTTCAATCAGCTAAGTTTGACTAAGATACTGAAATAAAATTATTAAGCCCTCATTCCCAGAACAACTTCTTTGTTTTCCAAATTTTATGACTCTTAAGATAGATAGATAGATAGATAGAATCTTTATTATCATTGTATACAAGGACACAACGAAACTTCGTTAGCAGCAATCTTACAAAAACAACAACAACAAAAATATATTTGTCGTGATATGAGAGAGAAGTATGCAAAAAGTGGCCAGAGCATTTGCTGTTCAGTGAATAAATGATAATAATGATAATAATAATAAATAAATAAATAAATAAATAAATAAATAAATAAATAAATAAATAAATAAATAAATAAATAAATAAATAAATAGACAGTTGTGGTGACTGAAAGAATATGTACAGTTATTATTTTTCAGTGACTGATTAATTCAATAAATATAAATATAGAGATATCAAAGTCAAAGTCAACTTTATTGTCAATTTCAAAATATGCCAGACATACAGTGGAATCGAAATTGCGTTTGTCTCCGTCCCACGGTGCAATACAACCAAAATAAGGGAAAATAAGATAAGGTAAAATAGATCAAATAAAATGAGGTAAAATAAGATAAGGTAAAATAGATCAAATAAAATGAGGTAAAATAAGATAAATAATATTTACAGTAATAAATTCTAAATTGTGCAAAAGGTACAAAATGGTAAATAAAATAAAATAAAATTTAAAGAAAAGGTAAACTTGTGCAATATGTGCAATGTTCAGTAAACTGAGTGTACTAAGTGAGTTAATTTCCTAAGTGCATAATAAAAATACATGAGCTAAGTGTCGTTAAATATAAACATCTCCTTTACATCATTTTTTTTATTTAAGTATAAACGTTTCTAGGTTAAAAATACATGTTTTGTGCTCTTGTTGCAGTGGAGACAGCGGCCGCTAGGGGGCGCTGTCCCGCGGTGGTGTTTTCAGCTGTTTTCCGGTGACAGCAGTGGAATGACAACACACTCAGTCTCGGCCCTTTTCCACTCCGAGCTGCCCGCAAAACACCGACAAAAGTAAGATTATTTAACCATATTTACACCGCTTCTTTCGCACATTAGAAAGTCCCGTGTTTGGGCTGTAATTAAACATCCAGTAAGCTTCAATATTTATTTATTGCCGACGTTTTTGGCGTGTTTTCCACTAGCTAAGTTAGCTCAGCTAGCCTTCAAGCTAGCGCCAGACTCTGAAACACCTGCGTAGTTTGACAGGATGTGAGTTTGTTTACGAGGGACAGTAAGTGAGTGACTGTTTTCTACTGAACTATAGGTCGGTGATAACACCTTAATGATCTCATAAAGGCTTACCTCAGTCTGAGTAACATCAGTAAAGCTGCTTTAGCATCGTGCTGCACTGCCTCCTTCATCGTGCTATGAAGGCTGTTTTTCCTGAAAGTTTTCTGACTGGTTTCTTGCCTGCTCTGCTTTGTTGTTGACAGAAAGAAGCTGCCACCCATTGGTCTCCGGGGACTGTGTTTGAGGACTTTATTCTTTATGAACCTCTGGGAGAAGCAGCAGCAGCAGCAGCAGCATCATGGCAGATGACAAGGACGTGTTGAGAGACGTTTGGTTCGGCCGGATCCCCACCTGCTTCAACCTGAACCAGGATGAGGTGACCGAGAGAGAGGCAGAGCCCTACTATGTAAGTAGGGTGGCTTCTCCCTGGCTGCACCTGACGACAACAACCTGAGTCCTTAAACCAGGGGTGCAAATAGTTTTTACACCTCTGCCGGTGTTATACCGAGATGGTCAACCCTGTCGGATTGCACGCAGCTCGCAGGACAATTCAAAATCTTGCAGATACAATTTCCACCGTTAATTTCCTCTACAGACACTTCAGAGTCAGACACTGTTCACAGGATACTGAAAATGTGTTTTCTGTCGAGTGTAAAGCACAACCAGGACACGTTTGATAAGTATAAACTTCACATACCTTGTCATCACATATCTGGAACACAGATCCAAGCATCTAAAATCTGTGTCTGGGCTCAGCCTTAGAGAGAGAGAGGGGGAGGAGCTCAGACAGTCGGGGGGAGAAGCTCAGACAGTCGGGGGGGGGGGGGGGGGGTCACTGCTGCTTCGCGGGCGAAAGGAGTCAGGTGAGGAGGTTCAGGCATCTGATCAGGATGCCTCCTGGTCTCCTCCTTCTGGGGCAAGTCCAACTGGGAGGAGACCTCGGGGTAGTCCCAGAGCTTTCAGGCAGTGTTGTCCTTTTTTTAATACAAACTTCTCCTGCAAATCCTCCGTCTGCAGCTCTCCATCATAAAGATATGATTAAACCTCTCTTCCTGTCTACCGTGTGTCCTTCAGCTGCTGTTACCCAGAGTGAGCTACCTGACGCTGGTCACAGATAAGGTGAAGAAACACTTCCACAAAGTGATGAAGGCCGAGGACGCGGAGGAGATGTGGTTCGAGTACGAAGGGACTCCTCTAAAGTGGTGAGTGATCACTTGTTAGACGTCCCGTGTTGTCGTCTGTGTGCCGACTTAGTCTTAGAAGTACCCGCAACCTGACCGGAGGCCCGAGTAGGGCTTTGTTTGTAAATATTTATATATATATATGTGTATATTATTTTGGCTGCTTTAAAGTCTTTATGCTCCGTGCTGAAGCCCTGACCCAAGTCTATGTGACACACCTCCCTCATCACTCCTGAGCTGTCAATCAGGCCGCGCACAGTGACACACACTAAACACCAAACCTGATCTGAGCGTGGAGCGAGAGTAAAAGACGAACGCTCACACACAAAGCTCAACACAGGGAAACGTTACCGCGTAGCAGCTGACAGGCGACGTGAAGGCGCCACAAATTAGCAAAGGTGAAACGGCCAGGTCGGAACCAGGCGGAGAGTCGGAAAGATGGAGGCTATGCAGACACGCTCGGGAGTAGGTGGCAGAGTCACAGATCCACAGCTTAGTGTACAGATACACTCATACTGATAGTTCATCGCTTAGAAACGGCAAACAGCTCGGGAGACGAGCACACAGTTTGTAAAAAGTGTTTTAGGGATCCATAACTTGTTACATGCTTCCGTGCTGCACTCATTTAGATCTCATCTGAACAGATTTCTGTCAATTAGACAACTTAAAACTTTATTTGTATAAACCATCTTATTTTTAAAAAACGTCTGCTTTTAGTTGGTCTCGGGACCATCAATGCAGTTATTGTGACAGATCGGTTCGGGTTGGAGAAAACGTGCACGGGCTGGACTTATTTGCCCTTTACAATTCACAATTTACCAAAATTACCCCTCCTTGACTTTTACTTTGAAGGCGGGTGTTACAGGGGCTTAGAAATCTCACCTTGAACTGTCAATCTGAAAAGGGGTCGGGTCTATTTAAGGGCGTAGGTTTGGATTCCCTAACGCTAACCCTTTTGAAGCGAATTTTGAGCGTCAAACACTTCACTTCTTGCATTCTGGTGAATTTTTATGCAACAATTTGTGCCTTTTCTGAATTAATTTATGGCGAAAATTTCTTTACTATGTATAGGAAATTATAATTATTTTCGAATTACTATTAATTATTCAACTGTATTGTTCATAACTTTCTGCATATTCAAAACATTACAGGTGTTTTGGGATGTTTTTTTAGGAATCATGTACATCTCAAATCAAATCTATTAGAGAATGACACCTTGTTATAGCCTTAGTATCCAACATTTAAAACTACACAAAAGCCGTTGTTATAGCAGACTAATCTTTCACTCACTATTTGGAAAAAATGCGGTCGGATATTGTCCGTGTTTATTGCACTTAAAATCAATTGATAGGCAGGCTATATAAAAAATAATATCATCAAGGCATGTAGATTTATAGCCTGCTGTTTTTATTAAAATGTTGGCAGGCAGAGGAAAGAACAATTACACAATGAATAAAGCAATAACGTAACACTGCCAAACATCACAATGACAGCGGACTTTAGGGACTTCTGTTCTGTGTTGTTTAACACTTAACTCTTAATCAACAGCCTAAATCATGGTTAAAAGTTAAATGAGTGATAACTTAAATGATGTTATTTAGTTATGCTGGTTCAGAAGCTCTCTGTGTTCAGAAGCTCTCTATGTTCAGATGCTCTCTGTGTTCAGAAGCTCTCTGTGTTCAGAAGCTCTCTGTGTTCAGAAGCTCTCTGTGTTCAGAAGCTCTCTGTGTTCAGAAGCTCTCTGTGTTCAGAAGCTCTCTGTGTTCAGAAGCTCTCTATGTTCAGAAGCTTTCGCCTCCACGTCGTCCATTCATTACTGATAATTGGACACCTCATCGGGCATTAATTCGTATACTTTGTGGTGTCACCTCTATACAGTTAATGGGGCACTAATGCAAACACCAACCTGTCGCTCTTGCTTTGTCTTGTCACTGTCTGCGCCTGCGACCATAGACTGTATAAAGACCACGACTCCTAACCTGACCGGACCTGATCCATTGACCGAGCGAATGTAACGTGCCTGCGCACATGCGTGTGACTGTGCGGCAAGGTTAAGATGGTATGGTCCACTATAGGGGTGTCTGAAATGATTGGGAAACGTATTTACAGGTCAGAAGGATATATAAATGTTTATATAAAATCTTTTTCATTACCTCTTTTTTCAACCTTTTAAATTTTTTTTTGAGGGGGACAAATCTACATACGCCAATATTAAGAAAATGGGTCTATTCACAGGGAATCGTCCCGCACATCAGCCTGTGAATAAAATGTAGGTACAAGGTTCAGCCACAAGGTGTTGCTCTTGCATTACAGATAATTTATTCTCTTTGTTTTAAGAACAATCTGATACTTTGAGTTAAACAGGTGGAATAAATCAGTGCTAGGCTTTTGAATGTTTGTAACTTTTAAAAACATAATCTGAGCCTCTGAAATATGAAGCTCTGTTCTCATTC